TTCAATCCCGATTTTAGTTGAGAAATCGATTGATGAATAAAATATGCGAAGACAAAATCGTTCCGATAGTGTTAAAGTGTTAGAATCTCGAAAGGATATTGTTGGACAATCTGAAAAAAAAGAAGGGCAAGAGGGTGATAATGGATGCTGATCAAGGTAAAAGAAAACGTGTCATGGAGGACGAAGTGAATTTGGGTGTCAAACCAAAAAAAAAGTAAGGTTCAGAAGGCGGAAAAAGTTAAAATTCTTGACAAAGTTTATAAGGTATATACAATTTCAATTATAATTTTTTCTATTGTTGACTCTTCTTTTAAAATTTGAATTTAGTTTGTATTTGTTTGTTTTTAATTCGTGTCATGTATTTGTAGCCTTGGAAGCTCTATATTCCAGTTGGTGAGCCGTTTCTTGTTACTCATTGGTCATCATACACTAATGTGGACATTGTATCAGTTTTACAGTCAAAGTTGACTGATGTGCAGCTTCAGATGTTTAGGGAAATCTTTTTTGGCTATTTCCTTGATTTACCTTGAGTTGCTATCCAGGCAAAACTTATTCGTTCTTTAATGTTTATGGAATTGGTTCAAGATAAGTGTGATCAATTTTATGTGAAATTGAATGACGAATGTGTTTTACGTTTTGGTCTTCGAGAATTTGGTAATTTAAGTGGTTTAAACTGTTGTGGTAATGAAAATGTTGAGGGTAAATTCAGTGGACCCAATAGGTTGGTGGATATTTATTTTTCTGGTTTTGAAGTGGTGTCAAAGAAGTCACTTATTGATTGTTTTGAGAAGAAGAAATGGCAGTCTGATGAAGACGCAATTAAGATTGCAATTATTTATTTCATAAACACATTTCTAATGTCCACTCAGGCTCAGAAGACATTTATAAGTAAACGTGATTTCCATCTTGTCGAGAGTGGTGAGTATGTGTCATTTCCATGGGGTAAGATTGCGTTTCGAGCTTTAATGAAGTCAGTGAGGGACAGGTTGAGGGGAAAGTCTGAGTTTTATAGGATTGGTGGATTTCCTCTTGCACTACAGATGTGATTCTATGAATGTTGTACTGTAGTTGATCAAAAGTTTGTTGTTCGCGTTGGAGATCATATACGACGCATATTGAATTGGGAAATGACAGACAGGCCAATGCGTGAGGACTTCTCTACTGGTTTCTTCAACAACACAGGGAATAAGGTACCATCTTTTATATCTTGATGGGATATACATTTATAATACACTATAATTCATTGTGATACATCAAACATATTGTTTTTATACATCTTTGATACATCTAGGACTGAAGCACTTTTGGTTACCTTTGTAATTTAAAAATATTTCTCCGACAATTGAGGAGCTAAGGAGATTTACTTTGCCTGTTGAAGTTACCGATGAGTATCAGAAATATTTGACATCACGTAACAGAGGAAAACTTTCTATTGATGATAGCGATGATTTTGTCACGCCACCCCTGAAACAAATTAAGGAGCCTATCCCACCAAAAAAGGCGCCAGGTGTCCAACCTGTTGATTATGACCGTGAGTTGCAGAAGTTGAAAGCTGATATGAAGCAAGTTTGTATTGGTATTTTTTATATATTTTTTTGAAAGTAGTAGTCACGACCCAATTTTTCCTCCGTTGGGTTTCGTGATGGCACCTAGTATTAAGGACTAGATAAGCCTACTAAAATGCGGAATAACAACAATAACTAATAACAGCTAGAATTCTTCTGAGATGAATCCCTTACACAATAAACAACTTTTCAAAACCCGGTAGTACAAGTCATAAGCTCTACAGAGTTTCGCTACAACTTCTAAATAAATCGTATGAAAATAAGTACAACAATGTGAATATAAAATAGGAAGGTGACTCCGAAGCCTGCGAACGCAGCAGCAGGACTACCTTGAGTCTCCTCGGCAAGAATCCGCACAGCTACTAGCGAACAATACCTGGATCTGCACACAAAAAAATGTGCAGAAGTGTAGTATGAGCACACCACAACGATGCCTTGTAAGTATCAAGACTAACCTTGGTAGAGTAGTGACGAGGAACAGTTAAGACACCTACTGGTCTAATAAGTAGAACAAGTATAAATATTTAAAAAAAAACGAACATGATATCTATATAAAGACTAAGCGATATTTCTAACAATACAGAAAATACAATAAGGAAAGGAAACAACAAGTATAGTGGAAAAACCATAATAAAGCTCATAAAAATGAACAAAGAAAAAGTACAACCCAACTCAAAATCACAAATACAGTAAGGGCAAGTCATAACTCAACAACTATGGCATCCCTCACCTTGAGTCTTAACCAGCAAGTATCAATCAAATAATCAAACTCTTTTCATGTGGTAAAAATTATTATACTTCCTTCAAATAAGTGTCATTTTCAAAAGAATTTCCTTCAAAATAATGCTTCAAATATAATCTTTTCTAAAAAGAGAATCCTCCGAATATAAGTCATCCTGGGACACCTCATCTCCTAATCATACAATATGGATCTCAATACCTGAACCCTAACACTTGGCATCTTGATCCCTCATCACCCCTCATAATCATACTGACAACTCACGTGCCCAGAGAGTCATTCTCACATGGAAGGAAAATAAACATGAGGTGCATCTATACTCAGAAATCTCAAAGAGCCTCCTACCCGATAAGGGTGATTAACCACGTGTATGCTTGTGCAAGTGTCCTAACATAGTTTGCACCAACTAGTAAGTATAAGGAATGGAACGGACAACACCTATAATGTTTACACAGGTATAGAATTGTGACGACCCGACCAGTCGTCTTAAGAATTAACGTCCCGATGCCCTATTAACTACTTTCCCCGAGTTTATTTCTACTATTTTAATTTGTCGGGATGTTCGGTGTTGTGTTTCGGAGAGTTTTGGGACACTTAATCCCTAAATGAGAGCTTAAGTGTTGTAAAGTTGACCGTAGTCGGAACAGTATGAAGACGGCCTTGAAATGGAAATCTGAGGGTTCTGTTAGCTCCGATGGGTGATTTCGGGCTTAGAGGCGTGTTCAAATTGTGTTTTGGAGGTCCATAGCTATTTTAGGCTTGAAAATGCCGAAAGTTGAACTTTTGAAGTTTCCGGTTCGATAGTGAGATTTTGATCCGAGGGTCAGAATGGAATTCCGAAAGTTCTTCGTAGTGTTGAATGTGACGTGTGTGCAAAATTTTAGGTCATTCGGACGAGGTTTGATAGACTTTTTGATCGAAAGCATATTTTTAGAGTTTTTGAGGTTCTTAGGCTTGAATCCGATGAAAAATAGGTGTTTTGATGTTGTTTTGAGCATTACGAAGGTTGGAACAAGTTTGAATGAAGTTACAGGACATGTTGGTAGGTTTGGTTGAGGTCCCCGAGGCCTCGAGATGATTTCGGATGGTTGGCGGAAGGATTTTTGGAGTTTGGGAGTTGCAGCTTCAACTGGTTTCTGTCATAACCGCACCTGCGGTTTGGGTTCCATAGGCGTGGACCCGCAGAAGCAGCGGAGTAACCGCAGAAGCGAAAAAGGAGGAAAGGCAGCAGGGACCGCAGAAGCGGCCCCGCATCTGCGAAAGAATAGCCGCAGATGCGGAAATCGAGCCTTAAGTGAGAAGTAGCAAATGCGACCATGGTTCCGCAAAAGCGGTACCGCAGATGCGGTAACAACTGGACAGAAATATGAAATTTCGAGGGTTTAGTTTCAAAAGTTGGAAATTCGATTTGGAGTTCGGGAGAGGGCGTTTTTGAGAGGAAATTGAAGAGGAGATCATTGGGTAATGATTCTTTAACCCTTTCTAATTATATTCCATCAATCTATAGTTAGTATCATTATTTAATTTCGGATTGGAGATGAAAATTGAGGAAAAGTTGGAACAAAGCTCTTAGACCTAAAATTTGACGTTTGAGTGAGAATTTGACCTTAGATTTGGATAATTTTGGTATGCATGAACTCGTGAGAGTGTGAGGATTCTAAAAATATAAATTTTACCCAATTCCGAGACATGGGCCTGAGGGGCCTTTTGGTCATTTTACCTAATTTCGCGTATTAGCTTAGAATTTCTTTGTAGAATTAGTTACTTGAAGTGTTATTTACTTTATGAAATTGAATTGAATAGATTTGGGCCATTTGGAGTTGAGTACCCGTGGCAAGAGCGTGGTTTCAGATTGGTTATTGAGCCGGTTCGAGGTAAGTGGCTTGTCTAACCTTGTGTGGGGGACCTTCCCCTTATGATTTAGTATTGTTGATAACTTAAATACCTTGTACGTGAGGTGACGAGTGCGTACTTGTGCAAATTGTTGGAAATCCATTTTTTTTCATTAAGTAATTACTAGTATGTTTTCTTTCCTGTTCTTATTACTTGCACTATTAAGCTTGTTGTTAGCTTAGAAAAGCATGTCTAAGTGATTTAATTGTTACATCCCGTATTTTAATATTAGGATAAGTCGTAGTAATCCATATGAGCTTGAAGGAATTAATACTATTCATGAGGTTATAGAAGATTTGTGACAATATTATTGTAAGACCACGTAAGTTTAACAACATTGATATTGTTAGATACATTTTGATATGATATTTATATTAAGTGAAATATTTTTGTAAAAAGCTTGAAAAGCCTTATTGAAAAATAAATAAATTATACAACAAGTTCAGGAGTTGCTTCAAATTGTTAATTAGAAAAAAGGTTATTATGTTGATTGATTTTCTCTTGTTAAGGTTGTAAAGTTTTTTCTTCTTAAATAGATGCAGTCTTTTGCACTTGAAAATGTATTTACTTTTTACTGCTGCAAATCATAAAATAGGAAATATTGGTAAAACAACTAACACTAGGTACATAGATTGGTTGTCCACGTGGGACCATGACAATAAAAGAATGTATTCCCCTTATTAATAAGCGACAACTTGAGGAGCTTGGGGTCGTCCGAGGGTATTTTTGAAAAAATACAAATATTTTGGCATAAATCACGTCTTAAACCTACTTTAGTTTTGACACGTTGCTTTACACTTTACACTGCTCAAACGAACATATCTATTTCCATCTAATTTGCCCAGTCTTTACGCTTGGTTTCTTCCTCAAAATTTCCGCCGCTGCTCACCTCTTCTTACAATTTCCCTTGTTTCTTTTAGTATTCTCTCTTCCCGGATAGTTAATTCGCCTTGATTGTACATTATAAAGTGAGTTTTAGTTTCTTGTTTTCTTGATTTTCGGAATAGCTGCTGCATATAAATTGTTTAAGCTTATTAAATTATTCGTGCATCATTCTTTCTCATCCGTCCAAAAAAACCTGGGATATTTGAAGTTGTTGCTGATGTTGTTCTTGAATCATTTGGTGGGTTCAGTCATGTTGATGTATCTGTTTATGCTTTTAAAGGTGTTGGAATGATTTTACCTTTATGAAACGATAAGTGTAGATTCATAGTTGAATTTAATAGTTAGTGTCATAAAACTGATTAATCGATACTGTTTTTTATTCCTGTTTTTGAAAAGTTTTTCTTTTTTTGCTTCTGGTTGCAATGAAAGAGTGCAGATCTATGTTTATTATCTAAATTTCACAAAGTAATATTATTGTCTTACAATTTGATGATCTTTAAGCTATAAATAAGTTCAGACGATTGTCAACTTTACAAAGTGATTTACTCCACTGTTCACATATTAGATGCGGTAAGAATCACTTAAGTTTTATTACTAATTCTTCCAACAGATTTGGCTAAGGAACAAGCACAAATCTGCATTTGGTGTATAAATTTTATAAAATAATGTCATCGTCTCATAGTTGATTGGCAATCTTTAAGCTATAAATATTAGGTGACTATCAAAACTAATGTAATAGTTGCTTTTAACTTACATTTTAGCCTATAATCTTTGTATTTGTTGTCATTGTGATCTCTGAAATAATTATTAATGATAATACAGTGAAAATGGTAACTCTTTAGCCCTGAACTATTTAAACTTACAATGATAATGAAAAAAAATTACTACAAATCATTGAAAAATCTAATAGACAAAATCAACACATTTTTGTCTTCAACTTTTTGGGTAAAAGAGTAGATAAAAAGGAGAAAATATTTAAAGAAATGTGAAATTTTAGTGAGATCTGAAGATTAATGAAAGAAAAGATGAAATTTGAGAAAACATGCAAAAATGAAGTGTAAATAAGTAGTAATAAAAACAAATTACCTGGAAAAGGAAAAGAATCAGTCCAAGAAATTTTGTGAAAGAGATTAAAAGGCAAAGATGAAGGCATGAGATTGAGCTGATGATGTAAAGGATTATTTGTTGTACTATTCTTATTATTTTTTGGAAAACTGAGGCTAAGACTCAAGCCCAAATATTCTTTCTCAACCATCATTTTCTTTTCTTCTCAAATCCTTGTGATTTGTCTTTAATTTTCTTCAACAGTTTTTTGAGAAATAAAATAAGAATTTTCAGGTTTTCATATGAGAATTAACTAGGGGGGTTTCCTACAAATATTTTGTTTAAACAAAGGAGAACTAAAACTCTGCTACTGCTTTGTTACACTAATGGCAAAGCTGGTTGTTATGCTTTTGCCTTATTTGACTCTAATGTATATTTCTCTTCGTCGTTTTGCGAATTATGTACAGTACAATATGTATGAAGCCTATTGTTCGTATTAAGTATATCTAAATAACAGATGATCAATTAATCACAAGCTGAGCTAAGTTTTTTTTTTGCCGACAATCTTTAGCTTCTTACGAGTTTGCCTTATTTGGGCTCTAATGTAGATTTTTTTCATCATTCTGAATAATCTGCTTCGCTGCTCTCCATCGTCCTTGGTATAATATTTGTGTAAACTTCTTATTGAAAAAAGGTGCAGCTTTGAAATTACATGCCTTTGCTCTTTATGTTTTGCTGTCATGTATTAGTATACTAAATGTTATATGTTGTTCCCTTTTAAATATTTGTAGAAAATAATATACACCAATGTTCATGTATGCTCTTTTGTCTTTGTTTCAAACTAATAAAAAAAATTAATTTTATTGTAGGTTGCAAAAGTGATTAGCTAACACTTATAAAACTTAAATTTCTTCGTGAATGAATCGTCAACAAAAAAAGAAAACAACCGTGCATAACAACAGTTTCTCATGATAAGAATGCCAGGCGGCGTGAACTCTATCGTGACATGGCCACAACTAAAAAGAACGCACTTCTGCTGCAACGCCGCCTCAAAAAGAGAGAGGCAACAACTAATCGTCTTCTTGGAAGTATAAAATCTATCAATCTTGCTGAATCAATGTGTGCAATTCAGGATAACGTTATTGTTGGAGGCTCTTGTTCTATTTCCAAAAGAGGTTAGAATATCAAATTCATTATTCCTTATTACTTCACATATGTGTCTTCTATATGACTATGTGTGCATAATGGTTACGCTCCTGAAATCTCTATGTTTACAAATTATATCTTACTGCAGTTTCAACTGATCATGAGGTTTTTACGCCACTAAATGTGCTTGACAAAGGGAAAAATGTGATTCATTCTATTTCTACTTTTGAAAAGGGTAAGCCTATAAATCTGTTATGATCATTTATTTTTCTTCATTTACTACGCACAAACATTTAATCAACAACTATCTTGAACCAGGTTCGACATCAAGTACTTCAGGTAAATCAAGCGGTCCAAATACTGAAACAATTCTGGTCGACGGTTAGTATCAACAAAACACTATAACTCTGTTGTTCCTTGTTTTCTTCTTTTCTATTCCTTAAGGTTGTTTGATATATGCAGGTCACATAAAGAATAAGAGAAATATGACTAATATTATCTGATTATGCGCTGATTATGTGCCATTAAAAAAAGTTCCTAACTATAAATTCTGCTTCACAAAAAAATTTCAATACGAATCACCTGGATTTTGTTGTGGCCGCGGTTCAGTTAGGTTAACTTCTGAGAGAATGCCACCTAGATTGAGAAATTTATATACAGGAACTTGTGCAAAATCCAAACACTTTCAAACATACATTAGAACATATAATAATTTGTTCGCTTTTACTTCACTGGGTGCTACTTATGACAAAGATTTAGCGAAGAGAAATCGTGATATATATACATTCAGAGTTCAGGGACAAATGTATCACTTTATAGATGATTTATATCCTAGAGAGAGAAGGCCGAGAAACTTACAACTGTACTTTTATGATAATGACAACGAGGTTGGAAGTAGAATGGCTTGTTCCGACAAAATAAATGAATTAATAGTGAAAGAACTAATGGATATACTAAAAGATAATCCATACTCAATTTTTTTGCGATCTTTAACAGCTATTCCAAATTTGCAAAACTTTCATATTGCACTGAATTGTGATGCTGGATTGGATCAACGAGTATATAATCTACCGACTACAACTGACATTGCAGCAATACAGGTTGATGAAAATGATAGTGATGCTACTCATACACCGCATGTTCAAATTTATACTCATAGCGATAACACACATAAAATAAACTATTATTTTGGATGTTATGATCCTTTACAGTACCCGTTGTTATTTCCATTTGGCCAAGGTGGATGGCATTGTAGTATTAAAAAGTTTCGCCACCCAGAAAATATTCCTAGAAATCGCACCTTATTTGATTCTGAACAGTTGCCAAATATAAACATTTTTAGCTCTGTTGATGGATATCTTGATATGGAAACTCAAAATCTTGAACAAGGAAAATGCAAAAGAAATGTTGTTTCAGTTCGTGAATACTACTATTATAAGCTCCAAATGAGAAATGATGATGAAGATGAAATTCTACATACAGGGAGATTATTTCAGCAATATTCAGTTGATGAGTATATAAAATTGGAGACACAAAGATTGGATTTTGTTGTGTTCAATCAAGATTTGTTTAGAATGAGTGTACTGCAAGGACTTCTTGATGTATTACGACTTGGTGAAAGGGATGCTTCCAATGTTGGAAAACAAACATTTCTACCAAATTCCTTTATAGGTGGCCCTAGAGATATACGTCAGCGTTACATGGATGCTATTGTGTTGGTACAACATTTTGGTAAACTTGATCTGTTTATAACTATGACATGTAATTCATCTTGGATAGAAATAGAAGAACATTTATCATCAAGTGATGAGGCACAAAATAGATCTGATTTGATTAGTCGCGTGTTTCGAGCCAAAATAGAAGAGCTAAAGACAGATATATTAAAACGAAATATTTTTGGAAAAGTTGTTGCTTTTATGTATACTGTGAAAAAAAATGAGGCTTACCCCATGCTCATTTTCTTATTATTTTAAGTAATGAGCACAAACTGTTGATAACTGAGGCATATGATGATATAATTAGAGCAGAATTACCAGATAGTAATAGAGAACCAAATTTACGCAAACTTGTTCTTAAGCATATGATGCACGGCCCTTGTGGTAGTTTAAACCGACAAATTATTGTATGAAAAAAGGTTGATGCAAATTCAAACACCCACAAAAGTTTGCTGATCAAACATCAAAAGGAAATGATTCGTATCCTATATATAGAAGACGAAACACAGGGGAAGTCGTGCATGTGAGAGGGAAAGATTTAGATAACTCCTGGGTTGTTTCATACAATCCATATTTACTTGGCAAATACAATTATCACATAAATGTTGAAGTTTGCTCTGATATCAAAGTCGTGAAATATCTTTATAAGTATATTTGTAAAGTACATGAAAAAATTGCATTCACTGTGCAAAATAATGATGCAAACACAGCAATAGATGAAGTAAAAGAATACCGGACTGTCAAATGGGTATCACCTCCCGAAGCCTTATGGCGTCTCTTTGGTTTTCCTATTAGTGAAATGTTTCCAAGCATTTATCGTCTTCAGCTATATCTTGAAGGCCAACAATTTGTTTCCTTTAAGAGCAATGTTGATATAAATACGAACGTGAACAATCCGATGATCAAAAAACGATGTTAACAGAATTCTTCTATATGAACCAAACTGATAAAGATGCTATAGAGCTGAATTTACTGTACAAGGAATTCCCTGAATATTTTGTGTGGTCCTTGAGTGATAAATTCTGGGCACTTCGAAAACAACGCTCTGCAATTAGTCGAATCGTAACGTGTTATCCAACAGAAGGTGAACGGTATTATCTCAGATTACTACTAATGCATGTGCGCGGATCGAAATCATATAACGATCTTTTGACAGTAAATGGAGAACTTTGTAGTACTTTTAGAGAGTCCGTGGAGAAAATAGGATTGTTACATTGTGATAATAGTTTGATAGAATGCATGTCTGAAGCAGCAAGTTATCAGATTTCGTACAGCCTAAGGCGTTTATTTGCTACATTACTGGTCTATTGTAATCCTACCAATCTAAGACAATTATGGGAGCAATTTGAAGAGTCAATGACCGAAGACTATAAAGTACTACAAACTAATGAAAGAAAAGAAATACGATACCAAGTTTTGAATCATATCAATGATATTTTACATTCTATGGGCCACGATGTGAATGAGTATGAACTCATACCAGAAACTATTCGGCCTTCAACATCAGCAAAAGAGGCAAAAGAAGTTCATTTTGAAAAATCTATTACTGTAAGTGAAGAAGACATGTTATTACATATGAGATTAAACAAGAAACAACTGATAACATATAATATGATTACTGATAGAATATTTTCGAACAAAGCAGGTGCTTTCTTTGTCGATGGTCCAGGAGGAACCGATTTTTTTTATACCATGCTTTATTAGCAACTGCACGATCTATGAGATATATAGCTTTAGCAACAGCTACTTCAGGTGTTGCTGCATCTATTCTCCCTGATGGACGTACTGCACACTCGCGCTTTAAAATTCCTATTGATATTGATGAACATTCCAGTTGTAATATTAGCAAACAAAGTGCATTAGCAGGTTTAATACGATATGCAAAATTGATTGTATGGGATGAAGTATCTATGGAAAATAAAAGAATGGTAGAAGTTTTTGATTTGCTTCTAAAAGATCTCATGAATACAAATGTTTTATTTGGTGGGAAAGTCGTTGTCTTAGGAGGTGACTTTAGACAAACTCTTCCTGTTGTACGAAATGGAAAGAAAGAAGATTTCATCAATGAAAGTTTGTTATATTCTAGAATTTGGTATGAACTTGAAAAATTATAATTGTTTGAGAATATGAGAGCATAAATAGACCCTCCGTTTTGTGATTATTTGATGAGAATTGGAAATGGACAAGAACAAACTAGCTCAACAAACAAGATTAAATTCCTGATTCTTTGGTTATCCCTTTCACAACCGAAAGAGAATCTTTAGATAAGCTATGTACATGACATGTCCAAATTTGAATTCGTTGAACTTCAACACATTGTGTACAAATTCTCGTATAATTTTGACTACAAAAATGATTTTGTTAATGAAATCAATGACATATTTATTGACCAATTTCCAGGGAAAGTAAGAACATTTGTCGACATTGATGAGACCACTGAATTGAATAATCAAACACAATTTGAAGATTTATTACACAGTTTAAATCCTCCAAGTTTGCCTCCTTATAAATTATCTTTGAAAGAGAATTGCCCAATTATGCTATTGCGTAACTTAAATCCATATGAAGGTTTATGTAATGGCACACGACTAACCTGCTGTGATTTTAAAACCCATGTGATAAGTGCTAAGATTTTAACAGGTGACTTCAAAAATACGCATGTATTTATACCGAGAATACCGATTATCATCACAAGATGAAAAAATACCTGTTCCATTTAAAAGAATACAATTTCCAATAAAATTGTGCTTTGCTATGACTATAAATAAAGCACAGGGTCAGACATTAGATTTTGTAGGGATTTATTTACGGGAACCTGTATTCTCACATGGTCAACTTTATGTTGCTTTATCGAGAGCTAAAAGTTCGAATTGTGTAAAGTTGCTGATTCGACCACCTACGCCAACAAGCGATGATGATCATTCTACCTGTAACATTGTTTATGATGAAATCATTCAAAAGGCAACTAGCTGATGTTTTCGACATAAGATGATCCTCTAGGTTTTCTGTTCTTTCCGTACTTCATTATTTTATATGCACATGTTTCCATGTTTTACTTTTGATAAAGTATTCTGTGTAACCTTTTTTCTTTCTTATTCCAGTTCCCAACACAATAGCTTTCAACTCAAGAAATGAAGTAAAAGAAACGTCAAAATGAAGACGAAGGGCAAATTAGTTAGCTCGGTAACTCGAATACCAACTACACAGGCTTCTGATTCTCTTAGTCTTAATTTTACTATGTTATCTACAATTGAAAATTTTCTTATGCTTTGATATGGTCATCAGCTAAAAATCCTTGGATGGTAATCCAGTTTTAGTGGTTGATTATAACAAACATGTTATTGGCTACTCTATGTGATTGGATTGACTAATTAATGGAGTTGATTATAATATGCATTCAAGTAGGTTCTTTTTCATTTTGTTGACCCATTGTGCATTTACAATGTACTGGAGTTGATTATAGTAAACTGTTTCAGTTATTACTTTGTTTTGAATTACAAATACATGAATATTTGATTATTTGAGCAATTGAAGTATGAAAAAGAAGAACTTTTTAACTACGACTATGTACACTTCTTTTTAGTTGGTAATTTTAAAATTTGAAGAATATGTCTAAAAGTGTCTGATAGAATAGTTTAAAATTTGGATATCAAGTACTGAACCCAAACAAATCTGTACTTAATCCTATGTAACTCAGAATAGTTTCATCTTGCTGTTGGTACTACTTGATAACATCACTGATTCTCGAGCTGCCAACAGAGATTCATCTCTTCAGAAAAGTAATACCAAGTCTCGCCCTGCGGGTTGGTGCTTTGAAAAAGATAGCCTATTTATTTTGCATGAGGAGAAGCAAGCTGAAATGCAGCAGTGCGCCGTTGTTGCTTCAAAAATTCCCCACAACTTCTCTTTTATGCCAGATAAGTTCATAGAATAATCCCCGATCATTCAAATAAGTTCATATTCCGAGCTCACTTTAAGTGTGGTTCATGTTATCTGGGTTCACTTGACCTGAAAAAATGACAGAGAAAGAAAGGGATTGAGCATGATTTTCAAATAATACACTATTGATACTGATCTTTCTACTGCATCAGTTTCAAAAGGTTTGCATTATTTAAAAATTTCATTATTTTCAAAAGGTTTATTAATTAGAGTTCATAATGATTTACTGAAGGGATAAGTTTGATTAAACTTATTTGTTTCTAGCAAATAGTCCAAAATTACGTATGTACAATATGTTCCTCACAGGGACCAATTAGCTTAGGTTTTCCGTGTTGCAATTAGGGACTGATAAGGCGAGTGGGTGGGAGCTTGCTATATCAAAGGCAATTATGAGAGTTATGAATGCAGTTACGTTAAATTCTCAACTGAAGCCACTTTGCCTCACTGGGATTATAGGTTCATGATCTTTAAGCTATAAATAAGTTTAGGTGATTGTACCATTAGCAGTACATTCTATTTTGCACTAATTTCACATATCTATTTTGCTGCTGCTAACTTTAGCATACAAATAATTACTGCAATTACTCCGCTTGACATTTTGCTGTATAAACCTTCTGATTTGATCTTTAGAAAGATTGCCTCAATAGTGAAATAAAAAAAAAATTGTGCTTCCATTTGTTTAAAGCTCAATTCTTTTCTTAGAATTTATCTGATTTAAATTCTTGGTATCTCTTGCAGTTTGTACATCCGGTCAAAGATTGTTTCTTTTGACATTTGACCTCATTGTGGAAGAATCACTAAAAACTTGAGGCTTAGGAAAATAAAATTCTCTCAACTTTGAATTCCCTATCTATTGCATTTTACCTAATTTCTCAAATGATCACTCAAATATCCCAAATTATCTCCTAAAGTCACTTTACTTTTGTTTGTAACAACAAAGTCACTGAACTATGTCTATTGCACTCAAAAGGTCACTCAACTAGATTTTCCAAATTTTGGATTGCCAAATATCTATTTTACCCTCTAAATTATAAATATTTATCTTCTTTTTATTTTGTTAAACTTTTTAATATTATGATTTTCCCTATTTAATTTATATTATGGACTTATCTATAGAATAAATAAATATTATTTATAAATTAAAAAAATAAAAATTATTTAAACATGTACAATGCTGGAATAATAAAATAACGAGCTTAGTAAAAAAAAGTTAATTAGAATAATTTGTTAGTAGTAATGATTTAGTATTAACAACAAACCTTCAAAAATTTATTTACACAATTCAGAATGAAAGAAAATAAAGGTTGTAAAATATATAT